GATATTTTTTGGCATTATTAATATTAGCATCCTGCTTTTATTATTATATTGATAATTCTAACTAATATTCTAGATCTGAATTATGAAAGCATTATTCGAAATTAACTATTATTATATTATTTTCTTCTTCGTCTTAATTTTCAAATTACTATTATTATTTCGTATTTTGAGATTTTTTAATGTTTAACATTTAACGGATCTATGGAGATGTTATACATAATTTAATTTATTAGCTTTCTATAAATTCAAATAGAATTCTTGTAATTTTATTTTTCCTTAATTTTTCTATTTTCTCTTTTAACTATGAATTTTATCTTTATATTGTTGTCTAAGCTTTTAGATATTCGATTTTTGTATTTTCTGTTTATTTCAATAATTTTTAAACTCTGATTTATAATTATTAATCTATTTAATCATATAGAATTTATAAATTATTTTCTTGATATTATTAAGGTAGTTTTTCTAATATATTTAATAGGTATTATGCTTTTAAAACTATAGGTATATCATCTATTTAATTATTATATTTAGAAATATCTAAGTAATAATTCTTATATATAATATTTTTTTTAATTTTTTGTTATTTTTTTATATTATTCTTACATCTTAAAATATTTTTAATAGCTCCTTTATTTCTATATTTGAATAACCTATAAAATCAAGTATATTTTTCAAAGGTTCAATTGAAATTAAGACTTATTCTAAAATATTTTATACCTTAAAAATAAACTTTTATTTAAAAAAAAAAAAAAATTAAAAACACTATTTTTCTTTAATATTACTTTTGTTTATTAATCGTCATCTAAACCTTAGATATCTTTTAAAATTGGAAAATACTAATGATTAATTTTATAATCTTAATATAAAACATTAATCTAGAAAATATTAGTATAAATTTGATTAGATTTAAGAACATACCCATTTTTTAAGTCTTTTCTATTAGAGAAAATTTTATATTCATCATGACATCTAAGAATTCTCAAAGCTAAATCAGGAATTTTTACATTAATTTATAAAATTTGAAATTAATTTTTTTCAATAACTTAACATAAAGTAAAAATATTTTCCATATTTATAAAAACACAACTAACTTTAATAGAATTATTATTGTTATCTTCTTTAAGAATTATATTTTTGACAAAACTTTCATTAATTAATAATAGATCTTTGAAATAATTTTCTAAATTTTTATGAATATTTAAAATATAAGGATTTAAATATTTTGAAAAAATCGAATTTTCTTCATATAATTCTTTATTGAGAATTCTTATGAATAATTACTTCACTTAATTTAAATTTTATTCATGTTCAAATTTTATAAGTTTTAATATTTTTAAATTCTAAGAAAATTCAAATTAAGAAATCAAATAACTTTAGAATAAATAAGAACCAACTATTTTATTTATTTATTCTATTTTTATATCTTAAAATCTCTCAAGTGTAAATATTTATATCATTTTGCAAATAATTTTTATAGGAATAGGGATATTATATATATTTTTAAATAGACTATCAAATACTATATTAGTTAAATTTATTAACTTTCTTATATTATATTTCATTATTTTATTTACTTGTATATTTTCTTCATTTAAGTTCATTTATTATATATTATTATTTATTTATAATTCATTTTAGTTATCAAAAGATTTATTAAATCTAAATTAATTTTATTAAAACTCACATTTTAGATTATCAAAAGTACTTTAATCATTTTTTGAAGAATTTAATCTTGATTCAAACCTTGCACTTCCTAAATTTTTGTTTATTTTTTGTTATAAAAAAAATATTATATTACTTATTCCTTCATCTAAACCTACAATTTTTATTATTTAATTACTAACTGTATCACTTTAAGGGCATTTTATTTGGTCATAAGTCCTTATTATTTATTCATAATTTTAATTTTGTTCATTTAATTATTATGTTTAAAGCTTTGTATTTGGTGTAAAAGATTAAGTAATATTTCTTTTCTATTATTAAATTTAATGAGTAACTAGATATTTTTAAAAATCTAATTTTTAATTTTCATTTTTTTATTAATTTTCTTGTAAAAGTCTTTTTTTAATTCTTTCATTTTTTTATTAATTTAAAAATAAAACTTATATATATTTTTTTTTACTCTTATTAATTAATTATAATATGAGTTGTTTTAGAAACTATTTATAAGAATTCTTTAAAAATATATTTAGTATAATGCTAAAATTCATTTTTTTTATTAAATTCGCTTAATAACTTCTAATATATATTATTTTAATCAAATGTTATATCTTTAATTTCTTTAGATATATTAACAATTTCCTTAAATATAGATATAATAAAATAGATATAATAAATAAATTATAATTAAAATTAAATACTTTTATACATTTTCCCATAAAAAATAAAAGATTATTATTTTTATTTTATTCATCAATAATATTTTCAAAAAATGTATTTAATAAAGTTAAAATTAAATTATTTAGTTTATCACTTTAATCATTCCCATAAATTTATAATATTTAAAATAACAAATTTGGATTTTCATATAAACTATTTATAAGATTGGATACAAAAGGTTAACAATCTTTAAACAGCTTATTATGATTCTCAACAAAAAAATATTCATTTTATTAATTCAATTATTTATATTATAATTCATTTAATTCTAAAAATTCCATATATGTTTTATAATAACTTATATGAGCTGTTTCTATTTATTCTTAAAACTATTACTTTTATTTGTTTTCTATGAATTTAATAAAAATAACTTTTTATTTTTTATAAAAATGAACCTTAAAGTATTAGAATATGTTCCTCTTTTAATTTATTTTATAAATTGTCCCAATTTTAAATGCCAAATAAATCCTCATTTTTAGGTTTTATAAAAATACTAGGCCTTTGGGAACAATTTTCTTAAGGTTATTATAAATTAACTTATATAAATTATTATTTATCTGTTAAAGCTTCTATATTTTATAATCTATTAATATTCTATTAAACTGTATCTCCATCTTAAAATATATTTTATTATAATCTTTAATTTATATAACTTGAAATTTACAAATCTTATATAATTTCATGACTATATTAACCTTCTAAATCTAAATAAAAACTATTATCATATTGATCAGTTAATTTTTTCATTAAATGATTTAAATAAAAATATAATATAAAATAAAATAATCTAACTATTATAAATTTTTATAAATAAATTATATATTTTTTATTTATTTTTTAATATTCTTAAATTTTTTATATTAATTTAATTTTTTTAAAAAAATTTATAATTTTAATAAAATAAATAATATTTTCAAATTTTTTTTAAAAAAATAAACTTTTTCTTAAAATATTTATTATTTTTTTCCCTTTATAAATACATTTAAAATAATTTGTTTTCAATAGTCTATTTATTTATAAAAAAAAATTCCTCGTTAAATTAAAAATTATAATAACTCAAAATGAAAAAATATCAAAATTATTATAAAAAGGTATAATAAAAGCCTAAATGTAAAAAAAAAAAAGACACCAAAAAAAATTAAAAAAAAAAATATAAATAGCAGCTAATAATAATCAAAATCAATCTTATAAAATTGAAAAGTAAGAAAAAGCAAATAAATTCATTTTAAATTTATCCCATATTTAATATTAAACTTCTGTCTCAAATCTTTTAGAAATTAAAGAGTAATAATAAATTGCTTTGAAATCTTAAAGATAGTCAAAATAAAATCAAAAAAAAATAAATTTACAATAAGATATTAGATACTAAGAATGTTATTAAACTTCGTAAAATTTAAAAAACTTGGAAATAGAAAACGGATATAATATATATTAACAAACCAAAGATTAATCAATATAATTAATTAATTAGAACTGTTTTGAAAATATTTTAGAAAGAAAAGAACAAGCTATATCAAGAAAAAGTGAAAGAAGTTTAAATTCAAATAATTTTACTGATGTAAGTAAATAGAATATATTGGAAATAAATAAATTATAAGTAAATATTAAAGAGAATAATAAGTAAAAAGGTGAAAATGCTTTAAATAAAAGAAACTTAAATAATAAAATTTAAAAGAATTCAAATAATTATAATTTCTTACCACGAAATTATAACAAATAATTAAAGAAAATAAAGTATTTTAAATATATATATATATATATATATATATATATATATATATATAAATAAATAAAATAATTAATGTATATGTATTATAAATAAAAAAAATTAGCCATTTTCAGCAAAAAATTATTACATTAAAGCCTTAAATATAAAAAAAGAGTTCAAATAATATTAAAATAGACCAAACTCTCCTATAAAAAGACTTTCAAATATATATAAATTATAAAAAAATGCAGTTAATAATTTAAGTTTTATTAGCAATAGAATAAAAAAATAGCAAAAAGAAAATATTGAAAATAAATTATAATAATAAAATATAGAAAAAATAATACAGAAAGAAAATATAATCTAAATCTAATAAGTTTAGAAGTAATTATAATAATCTTAAAATAATTTAAATAAATCAATAATCCAATAGAATATTTTCGATACTAATATAAATATTAATTAATTTAAAATAGAGTAAGAAATTGGAAAAGGTTCTTATGCAACAGTTAAGCTTGTGACAGATAAAACTACTTAAATTTAATATGCCATAAAAATTTATCCTAGATTCGTATTATTAGATCCTTAAAAGATGATAAATGTTAAAAGAGAAATAAATTTATTAAGAAAAATATAACATCCATCTATTATAAAAATGCATTTTGCAATCGAAGATAAACAAAATGTATATTAAAAAAATATATATAATAATTCTTTTTTTTAAAAAAATAAGTAAATAATAATAATTATGGAATATATAGGAAAATTAAGCTTGCATTAATATTTGAAAATACAACCAGAAAGAAAACTTAAAGAAAAAGAATTAAAAAATATATTTAAGTAAATAGTCGAAGGAGTTCATTATTGTCATTAGAAAAAAATTATACATAGAGACATTAAATTAGAAAATATTATGGTTGATACTGATACTCAAACAGTTAAAATTATAGATTTTGGTTTTAGTATTTAAGTACCTGATAATAAAAAATTAAATATATTTTGTGGTACACCGTCATATATGTCACCCGAAATTATTTCTAAAGTCGAGTATTTTGGTTAAAAATCAGATGTTTGGGCTCTTGGAATCTTACTTTATGTTATGGTTTAAGGAAAATTTCCTTTTAAAGGAATAAATGACAATGATTTGTTTTCAAAAATTAAAAAGGAAGCTTTTCATTTAGTAATGAAATTAATGAGAATATTAAAAAACTAATCATTAAAATCTTATGTTTAAATCCTTAAGATAGGCCAAGTACTTATGAGGTTTTTAATTTTTTTTATAAGTTTATTATATTTCAATTAGATTTTACAAGACGAATGGTTATAATTTTGAAGTAGAAATATAAATTATTTTTATGTTTTCGTTAAAATATTTACTAATTATTAAAAATTAATTTTTTATATAATTTTTATAGTTTTTTAATATATTTATGTATAAGTTTAATAAAATAATATATATTAATTATTTAAAATATAAAAAAGAAGGTATTTTTTAAATTTATAAAAATGCGTTTATTATATAATAATAAATTATTCATAAAGACTTAATTAGTATTTTTTAGAGATCGATTTTTTTGTATTTTTTAAGTTTTAAAAACACTCAAGATATTACTATTATTATAAATTCTAATCTAAAGTATTATTTTAAATAAAATTATTCGTATTTAAATTTATTATAGTTTTATTTTTTTCTTCATTTAATTATATTTTAATATGATTTTCTAAATTTATTGTTATGTTATTAATTTTATTCGAATTAATAATTTATTATACCATTAAAATTATTTTCTAATTAATAAATATTTGTATTTGTAATTAATTTTATAATTTTTTTATTATTTAATTAGTATTTAATTAATAATTTACATTATTCTATTCTTTTTTCATATTAAATAATTATCTTTTCCAATTAATTATTTCCCTTAAGATTTTTATAAATTAAGAGTAAGAGCAGAATGTATATTTGCTTGTATTTATTATTTTTGGATTTATAAATTTTAAATTAACTATCAAATTAAATTATTATTTTAAATCAAACCAAGTCTTTTTTAATTTAAAATAACTTCTTGTGTATTTGATATTTTTCGTATCTGCAATTTATGATTAATTTTTTTTCTTTTTTTTTAATGTTAAAAGTTTATTTAAAATTTAAATTTTTAGTAATTATAAATATAATTGATTTTTTTTAAAAAAATATTATTAATTTAACATTTTTAGTTTTTATAAAATTTTATATAAAAAAAAAAATTTAATAAACAAAACTGGTATATTTTAATAAAAAAAAAAATTATTAATAAAAATAAAATATCAAATTTTATAAATATAATATTAAATTATAATTTAATGAAGTAAGCTTTTTTATTATTATAAAAATTATTTTTTTATCAGTTATTTATCTAATATTAAACCAATCTTTATAAATATATTAAGTTTTGCATTATATTAATATTATTTTAAATAAAAAATAATTAATAATTGTATGATTAGACTGAGAATAAGAAATTAATACAAACTAAAAATAATAAAAATTAAATATAATTTAAAAATAAATAATAAGATATATACAAAAAATAATAAATATAAATAAATTAAAATTAAATACAAAAATATTAAAAAAATAAATAAAAATATTTAGCAAAAAAAAAAACAAAAATTTAAAAAAGAAATTATTTTTTATAAAATATAAAAATCAATAAAAAATGAACAGATCAGATATTTTATTAGAAGATCGTTTTATAGTAACTTAAATTAAACGAGAAGAAATGTTTGCAAAAGTATAAAGAATAACTGCAGAGAGTGAAAGAGATAAGATTACAGTCGAACTAGATATACATTTCGATTTATACCCTATGAAATAAAATGAATAATATTTAATTATGATAACAACTTCTTTAGGTAATGCATATGAAGATAAAGGTATATATGTGCCAGAAGAGTTTGATAGAGAAAGTATAAAAGACAAATATGATTATGTTATGCATGGTAAAATATTTAATGTTACTTAAGATAACGCAAAACCTAAACATATAAATGTTTATGCAAGTTTTGGAGGACTTTTGTTAAAAGTAAATGGAAAAGAAGAAGATTTGAAATATTTCAATTTAGATTCTAGAATATATATACTTATTAAACTTTCTTGAAATATTCATTTTAGAATTTTTTTTTATATTTGTTATTATATAAATAAAACAAAAAAAGTATGATAAAGATTTTTATTAGATAATCTTAATAATAATGTTTATTGACAATTGTGTTTTTAAATATAAAACAAAAAAAATAAAAAAGTAAAATATTATTAAAATATAAAATATCTATAAAGTTTATTAATAAGTGTATGATAAGCAATATAAATAAATTAAAAAAAAAAAAGAAAACAAATAAATATATATATAAATATATATATAAATATATGAATATATATAT